TTTCTTAACATAAAGTTCGCCCGTAGACTTCTTGCTCGGAAAGCAACCAGAATCAATGCAAGGAAGTCAAGGAAAGCAAATTCTCTAACACTGAGCATCCTGCCAGCCAAAGCCTTCATGAGGGCCTCAAGACAGATGGTGTCAACAGAACTCGGAAGCCACTCCGGTGAATCGCTCCACCTGCTCTGGCAAGGATCACCAGGGTCCTGGCGACAATGTTGGTGGCTGCGGCGGAGTCGAGGCCACTTGTGGGCTCGTCGCAAAGCAGGACCTGCAGATCGGGTGTCGCGAAGGTCTTCTTGCGATGTACCAAGACCCCTTTGAACCCACCTCGGGCAAGCCGCCAATGATTGCCAGGCCTCAGATAGCTGGACACAGCAAACGCAAGGAACATGCTGAATTACCGTCTGCACGGCCTCATGTCGACAGGAACTGATTTCAAAGCCCAGCTGCCCACACTCAAGCGCCGACGCTCGCCCCCTGCCGCTGAGTGAAGGCTTCGGTCCGACAGACAATGTCCGTGCTGGTTTCACTCGACTCTAGTAAAGTAGAGGCTGACTGGAAGACCTGGAAATTTTGTAGACTAAAGGACCTGCATTGTGACTCTGTTAGATAGGCTCGGAAAGTGGGTATCTTGCGAGCATACTCTGCGATTTTGGCTGACGCAAACACCGTCGTAGAGCAAGCTGCCAACGTTTGCCTGCCTGAAATCCCTCGCAGCCCCATCTTTTCATCTCCGATAGCCTCGACGCAGCTCGGGAATCGACTCGCATAAAACCCCCGTGTAACGTGATGCTTCGGACAGTTGCTGGGCACTTTGCTGTATCGGCACACTTCTCGATGTTGAGAAGCTTAATCACCTCCTCGACACGCTTGGTTCTCGCCTGCCATATAATTGGCGACAAACAACAAGCGTCTTCACAAAGATGCTGGTTCGACAAGCACACATATTTTGAAACTTCCCTTCCATCATGTTGCCGAAGCCTCGGGGCCCCAGGTGGTGGGCAGACGCAGCTCGGCTGCAAAGCCCAAGCTGGCAAGTGAAGCTTGATGCGACTGAATGCAAGTGACTCACCTGTTCACTGAGGGCAAGCCGCATCAATGGATTTCACCCCCCCCATTTTTAGGCGCGGACGTCTCCCTCGGGGTCAAAGCTGCGAGAAATACGTCCTCCTGTGGGACCGCCTCAGTGCAAGAAGGGCAGCGGTTTGTTGAGATGTGCACAGCTCCGTAGCGAAAGTGCACCTTTGAAGCTGCATGACCTTCCGCTGTTCATGCATGCAAACCACTTCGAAAGCCTGCATCCCAAGAGATACAGCTGCACTGTGCAGCAAAGACCTGACATGAGCCTCTTGTCGCCGAACAATCTTGCAACTGCACTCACGGCATCTTGCTATCGCACTGTCTGAAGATCCGGGGCAGCAGCACTTGCCAAGTGGCGCATGGTGTCCATCTTGACCGGATGGCCATCGCAAAGAACCTGACAGGATGCTGGCCAGATCAGGATAGACCAAAGCATTGCTGTTTGTGAGATCTACGATGTAGAATTTGGTGACAGCTTGAATTGCACAGCATGTTCTTCCGTGCAGCCTAGATTCCCCAACATGTTGATTGGTCGAAGCCTAGTACATCCTACTACGCACCACCCGGATGCACCCACCTGTCCGCACATCTCGGAGTCAGCAGCCTGAAGGCCACGAATGGCGGTCAGCACGGACCTGGAAGATCGCCCTACAGAGCTGCCTGCTGGAATCATTTGTCTAACACTATCACTATGACATCTGTAGAAACTGTAGCAAAAGACTCAGCACGTTCACATATCACATCAGACCGGGTTTTGCCATGACTCTGCATGGGCCCCCAACCCAGGGGACCGCTGTCTGTTGGGATGATACGCCAATCCACCGAGGAGGGGGCGTCTTGCCCGAACCACTTGCACCCATGATCGCGGACAGCCTGCACCAATTGAGGCACCCATCTGGACTTGTGATTTCATTCCGGGTTTTACTTGTGGTAGTCTGTAGAACAGACTCTACATATGGGTTCGCAGAAGCCCTCACCGTGCCTTCCCGGCGGGAACTCGCAGGTCACATTCGACAGGATCTGAAGCAGGAAGTCAAGATTTCTTCGAACCGTCTCACCGTCTCTGCACCACAAGGTCAACAACCACTGTCAAGGGGGTGGACCTTTCGTGGGCCGTCGCCTTTTCTGGCGCCCTTCACCTGGTCTGACAGGTGTGCTTCTCGAGGCTTGAATGCGCGAATGAGGAAAGGACCTGGACATCGCACCAGACATGGGTAGCTTGAGCTGCAACAGCACGGGAAACTACCGATCTACCAGTGGAGCAAGCAAGGCGCGGCACAATGTCTAAGCCAGCGACCGTCTACCGATCTTTTTACTGCTGCCGTTGGAGTAAGTACTACATATGCATATCTCAAATCACCAAGCACGACAGTACTCGAGCAGTCGCACCAGCAGATGGCAGAGCACATTCTCGCGCAGATGACCGAGCTTCCGGCAACAAGGCTCAGATCCTCAACTCGGATCTCACCCGGGTGCCGTGTGGCCTCGCGGCTTGATGGTTGCAGGGAGCGTTCTGACACAACCACTGTGCCTGTCGTGCGGTGCTTTGTGCACGACTTGCTGCAAGCGGGAACGCAAATGCTGGGCGACTATACAAGGACATGAAGCAGCAGGAAGGAGCAGCAGCATGGCAGCAGCAGCAGCAGCAGCAGCAGTGGTGGGGTTGGCCGTGGCGGTGGTGGCGAGGGTGGCGGCGGTGGTGGTGGTGGTAGAGATGCTGGTAGGACCTCGGAGTAGAAGCAGCAGTCATAGTCGTCGTCGTCGTCGTCGTCGTCTTGTGTACGTCGTCGATGGCGGTAGTCGCGGTCGTGGCAGCACTCGAAGGAAGCAGCACTGCGAACCAATTGATCGTGATCTGCGAAGTTCTGGGAATGTCAATGTCTAATACTCTCTGCTTGGATCCGGTGGATTGCCATACGCAGCGACTTCACAGCAACGGTGCAACCGGGAGAAGGGTGGCTCCGCTTGGGAAGATGGTGTTGAACAGCGAGCCGGAAAGATACAGTAGAGAGAGAGAGAGAGAGTCCGAGCCCAGAGACATCAAAACAGAGCAAGGCAATGGGAGTGGGCTCCTCAGATTTGTCGCTCCGTTTCTACTTGATACCAGCTATCGATGGCTGATGAGTTCAATGGCAGTTCATGCACTGGAGTCTGCTGCCGTGCAGATACGTCAACTGTGCTGATTCAACTGGGTTTCCGCGTTCATGCAACACTGCAGGGTCGTCCAACTTTTGGAAGATGCGATGTTTCTGATCATGATTTCCAGAGCTGGGTGACTGTGCATGGTGAAAAAAGCTCTGGCTGCAGCCTCGATGTCCCCGCTCAACCCAGCCAGAGGAGAAGCAGCTGAGGGATCCATCCTTCAGCTTTCGTGCATCTGAAAATGGAAATCGGGATGAACTTACCCGTGTGGGGCACAGACGTTTGACTTAAATTGGGGAGCTCAATGCGAGCATCAAGCTCCTTTACCCAGCACTACCATCAACGTGATTTTTCCGTTCCCGGCCGCACTAGAGCTGCAAAACATGTGCAGGTTTGCGCAAGCCGTAGAGATCCGCTTCGAGTTCTCTTAACTCTACTCGAATTGACAGGTGTCATTCGTTCATGAAGTTCCCAAGAGTCGTGATGACGGGCGCTTACTCAGGTGGGCAGATAAGTGCCTTCATATACCTCTATGTCGCTTTGCCAGTTTCCTTAGGTCCTAAACCGGTGCCGCACGTACAACATCATACAACACTGATTGTATTGTATATCAGCAAGTCAGCAAGCGGCAGCTTTTCTGCAGGTACACGGGCACAAGAATCTATTGATATCTATTGATTCGTAGGTGGCTCCTTAATTGTGATCGCTGGATTGATTGATTGATGGATGGATTCATTGGCTGAACTGCAGGCTGTCCCATCTGTCGATTGTCCCTCTCCTTCGAACCACCACCAGTGAGTCTCGCAGTTTCAGCCAGCACGCCCCAGCACCCGAACTCTGCCGGATTTGGCAATCGGCCCAACGCCCCATTATATCCAACAGAACATTCCGACACCCTGCGGAATTAGCTGGGACAAATCGATGGGGGATGAGGAATGAGTAAACGTGGGCGGCTACACTGCAGGTCAACTATATGTCCCAAGTCCAGCATGTCACCTGATGTGTTGCAAGTGCTCTTCACAAGCACTGGATTCATTCCGGGGACCCTACGCCGCAGCCATGGCGGCGTTCGTTGTCAGTTGACTTGTGCCGGGAACAGGTAATTAGACTATACCTTCCTTCCTGCGGTTGGCAACAAACTTTCGGTGACAGCTCCTCTCTGTCTTACAGCAGACAGGATGCAAACATGGTTTGGCTGACATTCGTTCACAAGCTTGCCCAAATTCGCTGTTTCCCCGGCTGGTTCAGTTCGTGCTCTGCATCAATATGCTGCATGAGTCGTATGAGCCATATGCTGCAGTGACTGGCACTGGCATAGTCTCGCAGTCGGCGCTGTCTCCATGGGCGTTGGCTGTGGATCTACCCACTATCGCAGCCATGGCCTGCCCAGGCTCGACCGGGCGGATGCACATTCCTCCGCCCGGCCGCCCATCGCACGGCGTGGCGCCTGCGAAAAGGGCATCACCGACCACATGGACTGCTGACATCAGCTTGGAGATCTTGAAGAAGCGGCGTCTGAGCCCAATTAATTGCAAGAACCGACGAATGAATAATTCCAGAGATGGTGCAGACTTTCTAAAGCTGAACTCACCTCCAGGCCATCTTTTTTGCTGCAGCGTGTCGGCATTCGTCACTTTGCAGCATGCGTCAGTGATGGCTCTGTACACGCAGCCATGGGCGTAGGGCTTGGGGTCGAGACCCCATCGCAGCTTTCAGAGAGCAGCAGCGCACTGGCTTGTGGCTCCAGCAGATCCGTAGTACTTAAAGCTTTTGCACACTGCTGGCATCTGCTGGCCGACATGCTAAAGCCAAAGCTGTGCACCGCAGCATTCACAGGGCCGCATGCGGCCTTGGCAACAAGTGACGTCGAACCTTCCTTCTCTTTGCTTCAGCCTGTTGCATATCATTAAGCTCTCCAAGCCTGGTATCTGCACAACTCAGGAGCACCGGTGCGCCACGCTCTGAGGCAAAAGCCAGGACTGAGCCAAAGCGCGGACATGCCTGTCCAAAGCAAGGTTCTCGAGGGCATGGCGGGAGGGTTGGTCCCAGGGGCCTTCGCATTTCCTTCCACTCCTCTAGTCAGGGCAGGCTTCACGAAACTTTGTAACTGCTCGCTCTGCACTGAACGAAACTCCTTTCGACAGAAGCTTCAAACGACAACAGCAACAAGAGTGCGGAGTAGTGCTGAATCTGCGGAGGGCTCGACACACTACACCAAGTAGTACGACCGTGTCTGCACCTCCGTTGCTTGAAGGTCTGAGGTTGCCGCTCTGTCAGGCGACTTCGGATATCCGCGTCGACACGGGGAAATGCTCCGAGGGCCAGGCGGAGCGCTTCTGCCGCTGTATCGAGCCGTGAACCTTGGCACTGAAGATGGGTCTCTGTTTGGGATCTTAGGACCAAGCAGCCGTGGGTCTGGGTGCCAAGCAAAGCCAGCAGCCAAAACAGAGCCGCAAGCAATGATGAAAGCAGCCGCCCGCCGTGCGGCAGTAGGTGGCAGCTGGCCGTCACGGACCTGACGACTCGTTTGGTGCAAGAAGCACTCAAAATCCGCACGAGGCCAATCCACGCGGTGCCCGAGTTCCGAACCGCCTGATGCAGTCTTGACAGAGCATCAATCAAGCGTCGCGCAAACCTCATGTCAAAGCGATTGCATCATCCAAGGTGCCATCATAGTGTTTGAAAGACGTGCCCGCCCCCCCCCCCCCCAACCCGAGTCTCTTGGGGCCGAGCTGGTAAAAGCGATCGCCGTAGAAGAAGACAGAGTCCTGCACATCATCACACCACAAGCAGAAACCAAGGTGTGAGAGCAGGATTTTCCCCGCCCGTCCAGGAACCAAGCATTCGTCTCCCTGATCTCCTCGATCCTGTTGCTAGAGTCCTGAAGGAAAAGCACACACCACACGACTGCGACAGGGACGACTCTGGAGCCCTGCCGCCGCACTGTGCAGTCAATACGATCGTTAGTAATGAAGTGTGGAAGAGCAGGTGATGCTCCGCTAGTTGAGCTTTGCTAGCCCTGCTCCCTGAGATGCGACGGTGATGCGTGATTTACGAAAACTCGCCGACTGACAGCTGATCTTCACCGGCCTCGATACAGAGAAAGAAACACAAGCTGACTAGGACCAGGACTGACATTGCGCCTCTCTTGAACGGGTTTGTCTTCCATGCAGCCAAGCGGCTGCTGGCTGATCCGGCATCTTCGGCACGAAGAACTCCGACTCAAGTTGCCGGTTTCCCTGCCTGATGAGCAAAAGCACAACCCCTCGCAACAGTAACTGCAACAAGAGCAGCAACAGCCAACAACGAAATCACAGTGGTCACAACCCAACCGACAACCACGACAACAACCACCACCCCCACGAAAACTCGCAATCACAGCCTCACCTCAACCCACGGCCAGAAAACAACCACAACGAGACGACAACCGAGACGACAGCGATTGTCCAGTCTCAAGGCTGTCTTCAGCCTTTGTTGGCTGCTCCTGTTTCTGCTAATTGGTGAAGACGAAGATGAAGAAAAATGAAGATTGCCATGGCGTTGCTGTTGCTTTCGCTGCTTCTTCTGCTTTGATACTCACTACTCCTGCTGGTGCTGTTGTTGTCGTTGTCGTTG